CAGAATCATTTTTTGGCTGCTGGTGAAGATAGCCAGATCAAGTTCTGGGATATGGATAACACCAATGTTCTCACTTATACAGATGCAGAAGGTGGACTCCCGGTTAGTATATTTTATCTTATTTCATTCATAAAGCATTTTTATTCTAGGTTATCCTTGACATTGATGAATTAAGTTATGCTTGCTCAGAGTCTTCCTTGCTTGAGGTTCAATAAGGAAGGAAATCTTCTTGCTGTTACTACGGATAATGGGTTTAAGATACTTGCTAACGCTGTTGGAATGAGATCATTAAAGGCCATTGAATCCACCACCCCATTTGAAGCATTGAGATCGCCAATGGAATCTGCCTTGAAGGTTCATTCCTATGTTCACTTTGATATCATTATAATAGGATTATTCTTTATTTGATCTTATTTGTTTTTTATTTTTTCTGAAGAAAATCCTAATTTGATCTTTAAAACTCACAAATATGCATGTTTAGGTCTCAGGGACATCTGCCGTTGCTAGTGTTAGTCCTGTTAATTGTAAAGTAGAAAGAAGTTCCCCAGTCAGACCATCGATTATTGTAAGTTATGTTTGCCTCTTCGAATTTTGTAGCTTCTAGTATCCCGTTCAGTTTTAGCAGTGACATTGTCGCTCAAAGTTGAGCGGTTTTGCATTGGCTTCTTTTGTATATCCTGATTTTTTGGTTCTTGCTTCTATTTTTATGCTCTTGAAATGGAATTTTCTTAGATATCCTTTGTCATTGGGCTAGTGTTCCTTCTGCAGGAAAGGGTGTGGTAGTTCAAGCGTGTCGTCCCTAATTTCTTCTAAGCTTTTAATGTGTTCTCGATTTAGTCTATTATGCTGCTGGTATTACTGACTATTTTGATTTATCAATCACTTTTTGAAGAATGGGGTCGATGGTTTGGGGAGAAATGTGGACAAACCAAGAACTGTAGAAGATGCAATTGATAAAGCCAATCCCTGGCAATTGGCTGAAATTGTTGATCCAGCCAACTGCCGGTTGGTCACCCTGCCCGACAACGCAGATTCCACCCACAAGGTTTGTTATATGTTCAAAATTTTCTTCTCGGGTATTATTTTCCATATGCCTCAATTCTTACATAGAAATCGTGCCATTCAGGTTGTTAGACTACTGTACACAAATTCTGGTGTTGGTCTTTTAGCCCTTGGGTCAAATGGAATCCAGAAGCTCTGGAAATGGACACGTAACGAACAGAATCCAAGTGGAAAGGTACAAGCTTGGAAGCTTTTGACGACATATGCTGATTTCCATCAGTCTCTTGTGATTATATTTGCAGATATTTTAGTTTCTGTTGCCATTCATGAACTTGGTCTTTCCTTCAGTCTTTTTCTGTTTATGTGGAAGACACTTATATTAACCGTTGCGCTTTTAGGCCACTGCCAATGCTGTTCCACACCATTGGCAACCAAATAGTGGTCTGCTCATGACTAATGACGTCTCAGGTGTAAACCTTGAAGAAGCTGTCCCGTGTATAGCACTATCAAAAAATGACTCGTATGTAATGTCAGCATCTGGTGGAAAAGTTTCATTATTTAACATGATGACTTTCAAGGTATGTTATCCAAAAAGACGCATTAATTTTGTTTTATCTGTGGTTCTCTGGTTGGTGATGAATTACTTCGACTTTTAGGTGATGACAACATTCATGCCTCCTCCCCCTGCTTCTACCTTCCTAGCTTTCCACCCTCAAGATAACAACATTATTGCCATAGGAATGGAGGATTCAACCATTCACATATACAATGTCAGAGTGGATGAGGTATGTTCTCTTCGAAATATAGTTAACTTCCATCGGTTTTTCATGTGAGATGTACAAAAAAAAAAAAATGCATGGGCTTCTTTTTATGAGGCACACAATGGAAAAAAGTTTTTTTTTTTTTTTTTCTTTTTTTTTTTTCCTTTTAATAAGGTGACAAATAGTTTAAGAAAATAGAGTTTTTATTCAGGTTGGTAAGAATATTCTTGTGTTTCTTCGTTAGAAATTAGAAAAATGAAAATTAGGAACAGACTCGAGGTGCTAAGTGACACAATCGCACTTTTGAAGGCAGCGGACTAGCGATTGTGCGGCACTCACTTTCCAACGACAAGTGAGCTAAGCCAATTTGTTCTTGCGTCGCCTACGGCCAAGCGACGTATGATCGAGCCTCTAGCCTCTAGCCTCGGTTTTAAAAGAAGGTTTTAGAAAACGAGGGTAGAGAGAGATTTTAGAAAGAGAACGGCTTAGCATATATAACCTTGGGTAGGGAGAAGTTGACAACTAGTCATATCCCCCTATAGTACATTCTGAGGCATTTCATGTCTGGCAGGCCTAGACATGATATTTTTGAGGCGTCATACGCCCTAGAATTACAAAGTAAAAACACTAGAATGAAAAGACATGACAAGGGTTTGGCTTGCCATGGGCAACATGCCCTAGACGAGCATGACCGTGACATTAAGGTCCATCCTACCAGCACGAAGGCGCCCCCTCAAGTGAGCTTCATTAAGGGAGCTTCGCTCCAAAGAAGCAAGCACCTTGGACCTAGTCGCTCGCCTTATAACATATTTCAGTTCTACTCTCTTATACTAATGGCATATTATGTCTTCTCTTCTCTCTTCAGGTAAAATCAAAATTGAAGGGTCACCAGAAGCGTATAACTGGTCTGGCGTTTTCAAGCAGTCTCAATATTTTGGTTTCGTCTGGCGCTGATTCTCAAGTGAGTGATTTTATTTACCTGTGAATAATGTTTCTGTTCTCTGTTAAGAAACTATTTTAAAAATCAAACATGTGAAAAACTTTTGCTCTGTTATTTTTGTTAGGCTCGTCATTATGTTATATGGCTTGAATGTCCTTTTACCAATTGGGATTCGTCAATCTTTACTTTCTCCCCGATCTTATCTTGCTTCCTCTCCTCGAGGGTTAATTTTTTTGAGTTTAAAATATCATTAGGTTTGTTCAATTTTAGTCTCTATACTTTCTATAAATTTTAAAATTTATCTCTATTAGGCTAGTAGGGTCTCAACAATAAACTAACAACATAGGCCAATTTTTAGCTTTTTGAATTTTATTTGAACATACAAATAGAATATAACTCATAAGTGAAGTGACCAAAATGGTTTTTTAACTTCATGTGTATTCTCAAAATTAGTATACTTGTATTATTTATTGTTGCCTCTATTTTACTCCGACCTGCCACTTTTTTTAGTCCCCTTCAATTCTTCGAAGTGGTACGATTTGCCTCAGAATAAGGGAATGTGTAAAGTTGTTGTTCTATGTCCAGGTCATTTATTATTAGATATTTGTTAAAAAAGAGGATAAAATAATAGCATGAGGCCTATGCATATGTGTTCTTCATTCTTTTGCTCGAATTCTCATATGCATATGACGTGCAAATGTTTTGGTTCTCCAAGATTCGAGATCCCCCAGAAACTGATGCTCGGTGTTCGGGTGGTATGGCTTGGATTTTTGTTTTTGGCTAAACATTTTCCTACTTCCATGTATCTCTTGCCTTACCAATAATTGCTGAACTCTGCAGCTATGTTTGTGGAGCATTGACACTTGGGAGAAGAGGAAATCCATAACAATCCATCTCCCGGCAGGAAAGGCGCCAGTCGGGGATACTCGTGTACAGTTCCATTCTGATCAGATACGTTTGTTGGTAGTCCACGAGACACAGATAGCTATATACGATGCCTCTAAAATGGATCGTATTCGACAGGTATGGATTTTCCCATCGTTGTCGATTCCAGTACCGATGCTGTCGTAAACATTATATAGAACTCTTCATTCTCCTCTGCAGTGGGTTCCACAAGATGTGCTGCCAGCGCCTATTTCTTATGCAGCATATTCCTGCAACAGTCAATTGGTCTACGCAACATTTTGTGATGGTAATGTTGGAGTGTTCGATGCCGATACCCTTCGACTAAGATGTCGTATCGCCCCATCAGTGTATTTGCCTTCCGCAGTGTTGAATTCGTAAGTAATCAAAATTTATATTTCCATGAAAAAATATTCACTATACTGATGGCATTACATTTTTGTTTTCTCATTTCAAAATTCTGTAGAAGCCAAGCTGCATACCCGCTCGTCGTCGCGACACATCCAATAGAACCAAACCAGTTTGCGATCGGGTTGACTGATGGGTCTGTTAAAGTGATTGAGCCAACAGAATCAGAGGGGAAATGGGGAGTAAGTCCGCTGATGGACAATGGAATTCCGAACGGTAGAACGGCTTCGTCGTCGACCACCAGCAACCACACACCAGAGCAGATACAAAGGTGAGATCTCTGGGTCTCTGTTTGAGCTGTAATTTTATCAAACCTATATAGGTCAGTGTAGTAGGTTCCCCTGTTCTCTTCTTCCATTTCACCCTTGTTTAAAAAAATGTAAGTTTTGGACATCAATTTATATAATGCTTAGGGGATACATTCTTATATTCTTATTTATTGTAATTAACTCATAATTGAATTTTCTACTTAACAACCCTCTCTTCAAATGTTTTCTTTCTTTTTTTCTTGGGGGTGGGATTAAAACATTCAAATGCCCAATTTATTTTATTTTATGTATTCTCAATAAATCTTTAAATTATTTTCTTTTATTGAAATTGGTTAAATAGTAATAATAATTTTCATACATGGCACTATAAAAATGTGTTCTTAAAATTTATGAAAATGAGAAGCTAATACTCTAAATTAGAAAACTTTTCAATTTGATTAATTTGTTATTCGTTCATTTTTTTATAAATATGTTAAACCAAACAAAAAAAACGGGTTAGAAACCCAATTCGATTAGTTGAATTCAAAGAAATATCCAAGTTAAATAAAGAAAAAAAATTGATAATACGTAATTGAATGATCCAAGAATCAGTATATTATAAATTCGATATATGGATCGGAGAACTTTTTCGTTGATAAACACAACGATCAGGATTGATAGAACAAACACCGTACTAAAACAAATTGAAAAAATTAGAAAAGTCACCGAAAAACGCAATTTTAAAGTTAGAAACAGACTACAATCTATAGCCCTCGGACAAGAGGGCGGAGGATCACCTGCGGCAGCACTGCAATATTTTCAAATGTGGTATCTAGTAACATTCAACAAAGGATAAAACTGCAGCATATTATACAGAAATCAGAACCTTCATGCTACATAAAATTGAAGAGTATATAACAAGCAGAATTTACTCACAGATCATTGAAACTGTTAGATGAAGAAAGATCTACTTGAGAGGTGCCAGTCCAAGAGAAGCACGTATTCTATTCCATTCAGCAATCTCCGGATCCTCCTCACCTGCACCACCTTCTTTCTTCTCCTTCTTTTCTTTCTTCCTCTTTGGCTCGTCTCTATCCTCGGCCCCATCCCTTCGTCTCGGGCTGGCACTGCAACGGGCATGTCTCTTGCGGTATTCCCCATCCTCCCGATCCTTACTCCTACTTCGGTTCCTTGAATGGCTCCTCCTCCTACCATGATGATCTCTGTCTCGCCTCTCCCGCTCCCTGCCTTCCCTTTCCCCGTCTCGATCTCTGCTATATTCCTTATCATCCCTTAGGCGATAGCGATCCCTATCTCTGTCCCTATCCCTACCCCTATCCCTGTCCCTATCTCGATCTCTGTCCCTGTCCCTATCCCTGTCTCTTTCCCTTCCACGTCCCCGATCTCTATCATAGTCTCTGTCGTAATCCCGGTCTCTATCATAATCTCGGTCCCTGTAACACACAAGAAAAATAGGGTGTCAAAAGATCAAAATTGTTCCTCACTCAATGGAACGATGCAGTAAGACATCTCAGAAGTGCAACCAAATAGCGCATCATAGACAAGGATTTCATGATCAAAAGATGGAGAATAAAATATCCTATGCTAGCTGCACAAACAGGTAATTTCACAGGAAAAGCAGAATAGGTAGAACCTTTGGGAAGAAGAAGATCAAATATAAACTTGACGGTGCCCGAAAAACGAATCACAAAACAGCTAAAAGTAAAAACAAAAACAAAACATAAGATAGTTCTCAGTTGTGGTCACCAGGATAACCATTGAAAGCCATACAAAAATAAAACTGAAAAAATGAGATCACTTTGACAAGAATGTGTACGATCCATCATACTTCTCAGCTGCACACTGTCAGTACAGAGAAACCTGGCAGGATCTTGAGAATTTTCTGTAGGAAGCCAGCAAGCAACCAATGGCTTGAAATACCATGGTTGTGACAGAAAACATGTGAACGTTTTATTTGATCAGTATGGATAGCAATCCAAAAATAAAAAATTTCAACTGCTTCCAACTATGTAATTAAAAAGCTGATTTTTTTTTTCTCAGTGTGCATCAAAATCAGTTTAGACAGAGCCAGATCAAGACATGATTCATTTTATTTAAATAACCTACCATGTCAAGAGCAAAAAAAGAATTATCTTTAGTTTCACAGAAGTTGTATGGTAAAAAAACCAAAATCAACTTAGCATTCAGCTTGACCTACACAAGGTGGTCAAAAGGGCAAAAGATCTTAAAAGCACAAGCAACTAAACTCAATCCCAAGATGGACAATGAAATGGATTTTCCAGACCAAGCAAATAACTTCATGCCATGCAACAAATTCCTTCTTTTTTTTTTTTTTTTTTTTTTTTTTTTTTTTTTTTTTTTTTTTTTTTTTTTTTTTTTT